GGTGGGTGCTCTCCTTAGAGTCTGGTTTGTGAGGACAGTTTAGACACCCCCATCTTCCTCAGCCTTCCTCCTGGGCAGGCTTGGTGTGGTGGCTCTTCGGAGTTCTGCGTGTGTGTCTTCCAAGTGACTCAGATCCATTCCTAGCGCAGCGCCAACTGTCACGTTAAACTTGACACACACTGCCGTTACAGATTCACAAAAACTCACTGAAGCCCGTGCCTGCCAGTCTGGATTAGCAGGAAAGTCTTATAGGCACATACCTATCTAGCCTGGTCCATTTCCTTGATTTATCTTTAGCTAGCAGGTTGTGTTCTAGTGAATCATACCAACACAGTACATTGCCTGCAGTGTGTCATACTGAGTGATCAGGGACTGGGAGAATAGTGAGCTCTAGGGAGACACAGGCACACAGGCAATAGGAAATCCCACACACCCAGTATTTTAAATGCGCTAGTTGTGTGGTTGTTTACTTAATGTGGGGTAATCTGGGCACATTCTAGGGAGGAAAGTTGCTGGGTCGGTCCCATGGGAACTAGTCATGGGTGTACCTACATCCGTTTGATTTCCTGTGCTGGGAACACACTGGGGCCTCTTGTATTCCGGGCTAGTGCTCTACCACCGGGTTGTTATACTTCCAGCCCAATACTTTAAAATGATCAATATTATTTTATGGGGAGGTCACCTCATTAACGGGACTGAAACAAAATTCTAACCCCAAAAATGACAGGTGAGAACTCCCATCACAGCCAGGCCAGTCTGCGGATGCCATCCCCACTGGGCCGTCTCGCTCTCTGGACTTCCTCTCATTTCCTTTACCCGTGTTTGCCCTCCAAGCAGCTATCAGTTGGGCCTGGGGTTTCTGATGGCTCCTGCTGTGGGGAGAGAGCCTCCTGGTGGTTCTTTCTTCACTAGCCAGAACCACGAGAAAGGGGATCTCCCACTGCCATCCGTAAGGCCCAAACTAGCCCCACTCTGCTCCCACTGCGGAAGGCTTTCAGTTTCAACTCTCATTTGAATGGGCAGGCAAAACCACATGGTCCCTGCTCTGATCCCAACCTTCCTGTGTCTGTGTTACTCTCTGCAACTGGAGGTTTCTCTCCCGCCTGCCACGTCCCAAATAAATACTCTGAGGCTTAATATTAATTCCTAACTGTTTGGCCCATTAGCTCAGGATTATTATTAACTAGCTCTTATGACTTAATTTAACCTATATCTATTATTCTATATTTTACCATGAGGCTTGTGGCTTGTTACCTCACATTTTGCTTCTCCAGCGACTGCTGGCATCTCCCTGACTCTGACCCCCCACCCCCCATCTTGCTTGGATTTTTGGCCTGGCACTATTCTGCCTGGCTATTGGCCAAATTAGTTTTATTAACCAATAGCAGTAAAACATTCACAACATACAGAAGTGAATCCCACATCATCTCCCTTTTTCTGTCTAATTAAAAAGGAAGGTTTTAACTTTAACATAGTAAAATTACATAAAAAACAGTTATCAAGTAGTTATTGCACTTATAATATTTAGTCTATTTGTATTTGGCAAAATTAAAGAACATACTCTACCATCCATTCTCTTTTTGTGAGTCTAAAATTTAATACCTAATTTATCTTTTATCATAACTAAGGAAAACTATAATTACAGTTATCTTCAATTCCATCAAAGACCCCAGAAAGATATATTGCCTAAGTAAACAGGAAGTCCATTTTAAGCAACTTCCAAAACTCTAGAATTGACAGAGACATCTTGCAGCCTGGACAGTCACCCAAAGTTCTTCTGTATCATTGGAACATCCATCTTCAGCCTACAGGCCCATAGTATCCAGCAGACTTTTCCACGAAGCAGGAAATTTGAAAGATTGGGTAGTTACAGTAACAACCCTCTCATATTTTAGCTAGGGCATAGTAGGTACAAAACTTAGAGTTCGGGACAATCTCTGTAGTTTGCCCGTTACCTCTGACCTGGAAATTTAGAATATGTTTCTTGCTTGATGTTGTTTACCATTTCATCTTTGTTATTATTACCTTTTCTTTATTTTTTCCACAATACGTGATAGTTTTTCTTATTGTAGGTAGTTTTATGTTAGGATTAGAACCTTCTAAACCTAGGGGAAGTGGGGGATTTCGATGCGTTTAGACAATGCCCTTTTAGTCAGCAAACCCTAGCGCATGGTCTAGTCTGATTAAAAGCTGAAATGGGAGAAGCGCGCATTCTCTCGCCTTCCCGTTCAGGTGGTTTGACCCCAGCTGCCCAGGGCAGAAGGCAGGACACAGCATCTGGATCACGGCAGTGTCTAATCTGCATCAGGGAGTGTTTATCCTCATTTCATACCTAAATAATTCTTGAGACCCTATAGCAGACCCAGGAGGTTTCACGTAACAGCTCTCTGACTGCTCGGTGCTCCCTCCACCCCGTGGAAGTCATTCCTCTCTGGTAAATGACTGCTTACCTCCTTTGTCTCCCCAGGCCCCGCTCCTCTCCAGCCCATCCAGCAGGCGAGGACTGCAGATCCTCCTTCTGGTGTGGGGTCCAGGCCTCATGCCCTGGTGCCTCTGCCTCTTGGTGTCCAGCACCTCCTGTAGAACCCTATATGTGAGCCAGTGGTCATGTCCTGCTTCTGCCTCTCTTTGCCCTGACCTGGTGATGCTCCTTCAGGCTCTAAGATGCTCTGCTTATTTCTCTCATGAACTTCTGTGGATGTGTGGCAGCCCCTTACTCGGCCAAGAGTACTGGGGACGTGTGGCATCCAGTTTCTCAGCGCTCAGTGAAATTTCAGTGTTGGAAAAGCCATGCCCACATTTCCCTGTCATTTCTCTGGGCTTTGGCCCACTGGGGACATCAGGTTTCTCAGAGTCCTGTGTGAGGTCAGTCTCTCCGAAAACTCCTATTCTCAGCATGGAAATCCTGACTGTTTCTGCTTGCTTGCTCTTGTGCTTCTGGCCTCCCAGACAGGGTTTTGGCCAGCTCCTGGGTGCTCCATTATGTGGGGTTCTTCAGCACCCCAAGTCTGCGAGAAATCTCCACTGAGCTTGCACATTGCTCCAGGAAAGTGTTACAGGACCCACAGTTTGGAATGTTCCACTGTCACCAGAGAAGAGATTTTCCCAGGAGCTCCAGGAGCCCCAGGATAGATTTCAGGTCCTGTTGGGCTGTGAAGCAAGGCAATTCCCTGCTTGTCCTTGGGGCTGGTAGTACTGTCTCAGTCACAAAGGAGCACACACATCTTCAGTGTCCTTCCTCAGCAGATGCTCTGTCTGGAAGGTGCACTCTGAGTGTTCCTGTGATCACCCACTCTCAGTCGGTAGCTGTAACTTCTAAGGTTTCCACAGTGTGCCCAACTCTTCAAGTGCCTCTGTTGATACAAGCCAGGAGTGCCCACAAATGACCTGAGAAGTGGTGTGGGAGTCTCTGTACTTTCTTCATAGGACGGCAGGGGCCAGGCCAGGATGGGCTGTATGGGGAGATTGTTAGAAACCCAAACCACCACGAGCACTAGTTTAGTTCTCCAGAAATGGACTTTTCAAGTCCTTGGCTGTGAACCACCTCCTTTCTTTTTCATAGAGGATCTCCAGGGTTTCCCAGGGGCTGGGCGGAAGCTTGGCTTCTCAGCACATCCTCTGCTGACATCTAGTGGCGCAAGATGGAATATTCACTCTTCACTTGAAAACTGGAGGACTCAAGGGACTCGGAACCTCCTAGCCTTCATTCCCAATGCTTGTGTGTATGTGTTTGTGTGTGTTCGCACGTGTACACATGTGCACGTGTGTGTTTGTGTGTGTGCACATGTGTGCACATGAGCGTGTGGGTATCTATGATACGTGCATGATACGTTTATTGTGTGTGTGTGTGTGTGTGTGTGTGTGTGTGTATGTTGTATATGTGACTGCAGGCTGTGTATACCATGGTGTGGATATAGAAGTCAGAGGACAATCTTAGGTGTTGATACTCACCTACTTTGTTTGAGAGTGGGTTTGTTTGCTGTTTTCTAGCATGTGGACAAACTCTGCTAGCTGGACCAGGAGCTTGTAGACTTTCTGTCTCTACCTCCATCTCTCTGTCGGATTGCTGATGTTATAGACACTTGTGCTACATGTCCAGTTGTTTTTAGGTAGTTGTAGGGATTTGAACTCGGGTCCTCAGCCTTGCATAGCACATGCTTTTTCCCACTAAGCATTCCTGTTGGCTATTATATAAGCCACCAAGACAGCAGCAATTATGTAAGTTGAGAATATTTATTTGTGTGTGTTTGTGTGTGTGTATGTGTACATGCACATGCTATGGCACATGTGTAGAGGCCAGAGGAGAACTCAAGGAATAAGGAAGTCAGTTCTCTCCACCTATGTGGGTCCCCAGGACTGACCTCAGGTCTTGAGTCTTGGTGGCAGTTGTCTCTTTACACTCTGAGCCATTTTACAGGCATGGAAAATGTGTTCCCAGACGTGCAGAGATGGGAACAGACATGACCTCTGTCCTCAAGTCCCTAAGGGCACATTGTCACGTAAATCTCCAAACTTTCTCTAAATCACTGTGGCCAAAATGGGTTTGAAAGGTGAGACTCCTGGCTGAGCAGACTCCTGGCTGAGCAGAACCTTGGGTTTAGGCATTGGTGGTTAAGTGTGACTGGGGTTTTTGCTACATGGGTGCTACATTTTATAGTTAGACTTGTGGGTTCCAGTTGCTGCAGGACAGCCAACCTACAGCTTAAGGTAGTGGCTGTTGTCCGTTGAGTTTCGAGGCTCAGGATGGCAGCATCATCACTTCCTCTGGCAGAGTTTTGAAGGTTGCACAAAAGCTGCAAGTTCCCCTCTCTGAGTCCTCTCTGAAAGCCCCTTGCCAGCAGCAGAGCTCCGCGAGGCACTGAGGCCATGTGGAGGCTTATGTTCAGAAACAAGAAGCGGGCAGTCTTGGTGGGTACCCACGGGCAGGCGAGGATGGCAGAGGGTGGGCACGTGCTGTGGACAGACAAGCTTACCCATACTTCTCCACTCTGCTTCCCCAGGGCAAAGGTGACACGACCCCCTCGGCCGAGACGCAGCTATCCTCGTCGTCCACAGAGGTAAGACGATTCACGCAGTCCCTTCCCTCTGCTAGGCTATAGGAAAAATGACCAACGTACAGTGGAGGCTTTCTCAATCTCTTTGGTTCTTTCACTCTGCCTGGCTATAATGAAGCCAACTGTGGTGTGCTTTCTGGGAGACTACAGTATAAACTGAACACTTCTGACACCCTAGTGGAAATGCCAGCCCAGCAGGCTGTGCAATGAAGTCTGAACGGCGGGGTCTGCCTCGCATGCCAAGCAGGAACAGCGCCCGCTAATGTGCATTATTGTAGGATCTTTTATTCAGAATCTGTGGGTCATCGGGAAAACCTTACTTTGTGTGTGATACTCCATTAAGACATCTGTGTGCCTGCCAGCTCCTGAACTCTGTCTTTGGGTAAGTCATGGTCCCAGCAGCAGCGTTTTGGGAACTAGTCCTAAGAGGACCAGCTTCACGTGGAGATGGCTTTCTCATTTTTCAAATGGCTGTTTGCTTTTAATAACTCTGCAAATAAGAAAGTTTCTGGGGGCTGGAGAGGTGGCTCAGAGGTTAAGAGCACTGGCTACTCTTCCAGAGGTCCTGAGTTCAATTTCCAGCAACCACATGGTGGCTCACAACCATCTGTACTGAGATCTGGCGCTCTCCTCTGACGTGTGGGCATACATGGAGGCAGAATGTTGTATACATAATAAATAAATAAATCTTTATATAAAAAAAAGAAAGTTTCTGGTATGTCTTTATGTTAATTCTTGATGTCTGTCTCCCATGCCACATGTAGTCCTTACCACGTGGGAGGAAGGTGCTAGAACCCAGCCAGGTGAGTTCTGACTGGGTGATGGCAGCTTATATTAATGTAGTAGATGTTGAACAAAAACTCTCCCAATCTTTCTGGAGTGTTTGGCAGCCTTCTTAAAGCAAAGAGTAAATAGTGCTGATAATAATAACAACAACAACACTAACAATCGCGAAAGAGAGGAAAAGAATAAGAAGGTTTATAATGAAAAGTAAAAATACACAGGGCTCAAGGGTCAGGGGTCTGAGTAGCCCATACACCAGGCAGCAGGTTTTCCCTCTGCACAGAAAGTGAGAGGAGGGTGAGGACAGAGGAGGTCCCTGAGGGCAGAGGAGGTCCCTGGGGACAGAGGAGGTCCCTGAGGACAGAGGAGGTCCCTGAGGACAGAGGAGGTCCCTGACACCCATTTACTGCAACACAAGGCCCAGGCTTGCTTGTCTCCCCCTCTCTTGCCTCCAGTGTGGTGCTCTTCACTAGCCTTCGAGGGCTTCTCCTGACAGTCTAGCTCTGAGGATGGTCTGAAAGAGACTCTGTCCTTGATAGGATTCTCTCACCACACTGGACTCCTTGTCTGGTGTGAGACTTGTGTTGGAGCTGGGCGGTGGTGGTTCACGCCTTTAATCCCAGCACTCAGGACGCAGAGGCAGGAGGATCTCTATGAGTTCAAGGCCAACCTAGTCTACAAGAGCTAGTTCCAGAACAGGCTCCAAAGCTACAGAGAAGCCCTGTCTCGAAACAAACAAAAAATACTTGTGTTGGTAGAATCGCCTGGCTGTGCTGTATCTCAATGCCTCCATTGTTTTTGTCTAGGGTAACATGGATGACAGAATTCTGTTTTGAAGGACATCCTTCAAATCCTTTAATGAACTCAGGAGACGATGTGTATTACAGAAGCAGGCAGAGGATTTGTGCATCAGGCCTGGGAATCTCTTTTTTCCACTCCATAGGAAAAGGCAGCCAGGCTGCAGCTGGTAGTGCTTAGCAAAACCTGACTGACGCCTGCCTGCACCTCGGTGCAAGGATCTGCTCCTTGCGGGATCGGCTTCATTATTGTGAATGTTCTCACAATCCACTCCTGGCCTCGCCACACCCGTGAGAAGAGGTCTCAGTGTTAGCAGGTCCTTTGTTCTTGGCTATAGAAATGAGTGTGGGTCTCCAGTTATATAATACACGCTGCACTTGTAACCCTAGAGCATAAAGAGAGAGTAAATTCCTGCATATTTGAGGCCGTCCTGGTCTATATAACAAATATCAGGCCCACCAGGGCTGTTCAGTAAGTTCCAGTCTTGGGGAGGGGGGCAAGTAGCGGGGGAGGTAGGTCAAGAGAATAAAATCAGATGTGTTTGTTAGAGGGTAAGAGCAGATTTAGGGGCCATGGCTGGAGTGTGGGGGGGTCACTGCTAGTGAGACATTCTGAAGGGGTCAATGGCTTCTTATGAGGTGTCACCCACAGGACAGTGGCTAGAGTTGGAGACTGTCCAGGAGCTCCACTATTTCCATCAGGACACTGCCTCCAGATGGTCCGGGCTCAGAAGAACCTGAAGCTGGGCAAGTCCCCTCTGCTCCCATTAACCCTCAAGTGGGCCTGGTCATGCTTCCAGAAATGGTTTGATCATAGCCACAAGGAGTCCCTGATGTTCAGGGTAAAAGCGGATCCAGCTCAGGGTGGAGTTCTGAGGCAGGGTGCCTGTCAGGCACTTGGAGGTTCTGGGGTGAGTGGGGACCCCCTGACAACCTGGCCAGCAGGTGCACATGACTTGAAAGGACTGGTTCCGGCCTTGCTGTGCTGGCCCTCCTGTGTTCTTTCCTTCATCCCAACTCTTGCTCTATTTTTATTTTTTAGTAAGACTGCAAAGGCTTGTAGTACAAGATGGAGGTTTCTACAATGTTCCAGGCTTAACCTATAGCAAAGATTTAGCTTCTGTGGCCTGTGTGTGTTCCAGAACTTAGACAAGAAGTATTGGGACACTTCTCTAGTACTGCTATTGAGGTGGCTGATGTAATGACAGTTGTTGCATTAAGTTCTTTGTGTGTTTTCTAAGACTTGCAAAAAGTTGAAGTGAATTACCTCACCGTTGCGATTTTGCTATCTATTTCTTTGACTATAATAGAAAGACATTTGAGAAGAGAAACAAAGGAGATAAAGATTCTTTGGAGGGGTGTTCTGTCTGTGGAGAGTGCCTGCTGAGGGCCGTGCTGTTTCCTCCCCCTCCTGTCTTCCTACCACGGCTTTGCCGTGAACACACAGCATTGTTCTGTGGAGAGGGCTGATCATTCATCCACTGAGTCTATAGATCCTGACAGAGAAAACGCAGTTCTCCCAGGCTTCCTGTCAGACAGGAATGAGCTCACCGGAGCATGGCCACCCTTGCTCACTGGCACACAGCAGTAGAGGCTGAGGATGCAGTGTCACAGAGGGAGAAACAACGGCAGCTGTTGGGTGAAGAGTCAGAAGAATACAAATTACTAAGCTGGCTCCCATAAAAGGAACACCAGGTGCTTGATGACCCTGGCTTGTCTGCTGCCTGCCCAGCATCTGGACATGTACGTGTGTTGGACATGTACTAAATGGTTTTTAGTCGTTTGTGCAATGAACTAGTGCTTGCCAGCTACTCTGATACACAGATGAAATAATGAGATGTCGCAAATGCAGAGAGCTGCAGTGTGCTGATCGCTTCGAACATGGGTGCGCTCCATAAACACCAGGCAGATGTTCACCATTCCTGACTTGGAGGCTTGCTGGCTGGTGGCTGCCCCATCTGAGTGGCAAAACTAGTTTTCAGATTAAAATTCAGAACCGGGCTCCTCTGCCTTACTTCTAACAGGTCTTTAATCTTTCTACCCAAACCCTACCTGACCCTGTCTTTAGAGACATGCTGTTTTGTCTTTTCCTTTTATTACTCCTGGCCCCTGTCTTGAATCTGAAAAGAAGGAAACAGTATCATGACTGTGTTTTGCTTTTTATGAAGCTGGTCGTGTGAAGGTGACATTTGAGAAGGGCTGAAGTGTGAGGAATAAATGTGAAAGTCTGTGTTTTAGTGCGGATTTGAGACCTAAGATCCTGCAGCAGAATTGCCTGTTTCTACAAAGCCCCTTGCCTGGGCACCTCCAGCTGAGGAGCCCATTGTCCATCCCACCAGTGTGTTAGCACTGCAGGGGCACCGGGTGGGCACTGACACTCAGGGGACAGTAGAGATCTAAGGGGGCAGCTTTACCACAGGTAACTCGCCATGGACGAGAGCGTGGACACAGTGTGGCTCTGTTGTGTCTGTCCAGTGTAGCTGGATGGCTGTCTCTAATCGTTAGACGTCTCCACAGACCGAATGCCACACGTGGGCACTCACCTGCTCTGATGTGTACCCAGAGTCAGGGGACCCTGAGCAAGTTAGTCATCTTCAGTTTCCTTTGGGTAGGTGTTGATAAACCAAGCATTGACTTCAAGAAAAATGACTGACCTAAAATGTATCATAATATCTCTACCTCACTTCCAATAGATAACATTCAGAATTTGAAAGAGATGCCTGGAGAAAAACAACCTCCCCAAAAGAGAAGGAAGGAAGGAAGGAAGGAAGGAAGGAAGGAAGGAAGGAAGGAAGGAAGGAAGGAAATCCCCAAAGAGTCCCAAAGTTCCCCACTAAATTCTAAGGTCACAGGAAAAATATTTTCATATTTTTTATAATTTCCAAGGAAGTTTGTGCCACAGCTATAGTAATTTTTGTATATATTTTTGAGTTAGCAGAGGCTGCGTTATCCTAAATATTGACGATCACAGCACAGCCCTGGAGTGATGGTCAGTGCTCATCTGTCGTCCTGGTTGTGTCTGATTTGAGCAGATAGGCCATTCTGGAGCTCAGTTAATGTCACCATCTGAGGCGGCCTCTGCCCCGTGACACCAGAGGATGCGTCTGGTCTGTTAAGAGAACAAACGTCCATTGTGCGACACGGATATGATGGTTCCTCCCTCCTCAGCCACCCCAGAAAAGGCTATGCTGGGACCCATAATTTACCTTGGAATGAATTTCTGCACCATGTGTACAGCCCTGGTGACCCTGGACAGGGTCAGAAGTAGGGGTGCAGTGATGGCTTCAGGACATAAAGAGACTAGCTTTCTGGGTGTGCCTAGAGCTTCCCTTCCTCCATGACAAACACGAAGAGCTTCCAGGGCTCCGAGTCCTGCACCCAAGTGCCAGGCCAGCCTCAGGCCTGAGGAGTGAGTGGGAGGTT